AAGCTTCGGACAAACTCTCAGCAAGATAATTACTCAATACCTAGAACCCCTTCTAGTAAATATCAGAGTATATCACCTAATTCTGTAACCCCTCTACCAAATAGCCCAGGCCCAATAGGTCCGCCTGGGAAAACGCCGATACAACATGCTCTCTTACAACACCCACAGGCCACTTCTCCGATACACTCTGCGCTGAAAGGTCCTCCGGGTATTCCTCAGACTCCATTCGCTGGTATGCAACCCATGCCAGGAGGATTCCAACCAGGAATGCCAATGGTACCTCCAGGTTTCGGTCGACCACATCATGATCCAATGTTCGGACTTCAGCAGGGAATGGGCAATCACTTTCGTCCTTTGCCGATTCCCAATGGTGGCATTCCCCCATTTCAGCCTGGATTTAATATGCATCATATGCCACAAGGGAGAGGATTCCCTATGCATGGACCACCGGGATTTCCACAACCTTCTCCGAACGGCATGGGTAGCATTGGCCAGCTTTTTGGTGCTCCAAAAGATACACCTCCTTCGCAGAGTCATTCCCGAAATCAGTCCGGCTCGTTTGATGGATTATCATCGGCAACACAAGCTCAGCCTATCGCGAGACCAACGCCGATTGGACGACCATCTAGTATTGTTCACGGCACTCGTCACAGTGATAAATTCAATAGTGGTGAATCTGATGAAACAAGCAAACACCTTGGTAGTAGCGCTTTACTGGATGATACTGATGAGCCTATCAGTATTGGAGTTGGCGCACGACGCTCGAGTGCAGCTCCTGGTAATCCCAGCAGACAGAACTTCTTGCCGCCACCATTTGGTATGGACCGCTCGGATCCAGCAAGTATGATGAGCTCTTTTGGCACATGGGGTGCACCCCCAACCCCATTTGGATCTTCTTCCCTACCTGGATCTAACGGTTTTGGAGGAGGATGGAATACAAGTCTCAATATGAATGGTTCATTCGCTATGCCACCTTACTTTCGCCCATCTCAACCGCGTTCGGTAGCTGTGAGATTAATGATTTGTATGGCTTGTCAGAACCTTCAGAATTCTACCCAAGATGGATGGTTAGATATTGATGCTATCAAGAATGAGGTCGCTCTTCTGAATCAAGCTAGGGAGGAGCCGGTTTCTGAACGGGAATTGCTGGATATTTGTGACACTGAAGGGAATCAAATGAATGGCGGTGGCACATTCGAGATCCGTTCTTCTGACGGCAAGTCACAAATTCACTATGTCAGCGATTCAATACCTCATGACTTCCGTTCTGCCGGCGTGCCAGGCGAGATCGGGAGCCCTATCAGTGGAGGGGCCTCTAGAAATCTAGGACCTCCTGGCCAAGCTCCAATTGGTGGATTTTAGAGGTTATAATGAATCTACCTAGCTTCTTTTCGCTATCCTATTCTCATGATTTGAGCATCACAAATTCGGTATCTTGGAGCTTATTTGTGTGTCAGTGGTGTGTTTCTTTTCATGGTGATGTAAGATTTGCTTGGACGGGCATCGATCAAACAAAAAGGCCAGATATGGCGCTGTTCATGATATCGCTCGCAGTTCTTCATTTTTTTTAATGCCGGTTAGGCTGGTCTGGTCTCCCTTGATTGGGGAGGAGGAATCAATCAATCTATACCTACTCATTGGCGTTTTTACGCTGACTTATCTTCACCTGCTTGGCAAAGCAGAGGTGAATATCGAATACCAATATTATTCTAGTGTTCTACTGTATGCATTTTTGTTCTGTCATATTTTCTGTTTTCTTGACTTGCGTGAAATCTGATAAACTCACTCGATTAATGCATGTTAGTGTCGAGTAGCTGTGTACAAATCGAGAGCCAATACTATGATGTTTCCACTTACACTTTGTTTGTTCATTACATAAATGCATCTTGCCAACTTTGAACACAGAACTTGATATTGGGATTCAGCACTGGTCTTCCACCAAAAGTTTGACGAAGAATAGGTATGCATCAACTGTTCGCTACCTAGGTGCATACACCAGCATGCATTTATGTCAAATGCTTATATTGTAAGATGGGACGATACAGTAAACGTTATGCAATGTACCAATCAACAAACAGTCGGCTCTCGTTAACGGTCAACTTCTACCAGTAACTACTTTGATAATTCGCCACCATTCACTTCAATCCCTCCCTCGCCTATCCTTCTCGGTTCGAGATCACACTCCTATATATCCCCATTTCTACGCAATTGATGTTGTATTCAAAAGTCGAACGATATATGCAACTGCACTATCTCACGAGTAACACCGTGTTCAGAAGTATTTGGAATTCAATCATTATCACACTTACTTTTCGCCATTTCTGTCACCTGCACCATCAGAATACTAAGCCCCAGGCAGTCTTTTCATCCTCTTTCACGTAATTTTTTCTCGCTCGAAAATCAATAGTTATATATACGAAAGCACATAGATGGGCGCTTAACATTGATAAGGTCACGAAAGGAACGAGGGGTAAGAAAATAGAATATTAGCGCTTGTATATATTTGACTTGGGATCCATGATATTGAGGCTCGAGCTTTGGGTTGCGATGATGGCTGCGGTTGAGATATGCAAGATTATGAGTGGGACTGGGATGTGCGGCTGCGGTGACACGAGAATCATTAATGTGCGTGGACGGAACAAATGTGCGGAATGGGAGAAGGAGATTGAGGTGGAAGGGAAGGGAAGGGAAGGGAAAGAAATATAGGCAAGCAAAATATGATTCACATTGATTCACATCACCTGCGGGAAACTTTTATGGATGATGTGGGGGGTGGGTTGAGGGTGGAGAGTCTGGACATTGCGTGCCGTATGGTGGGTCTGTCTGTCTTTGGGTTGCGCGCTTCGGATGGGAATGGACTATTGGGGATCAGTGAAATGCCTAGGATGGTTTACATACGGGACGGGAAGTTGATGATTGATGTGGTTGAAAAGTTGGGGACATCCTCGTGGTTCCGAATATGAATGTTATCCAGGAAGGGTTTGTCGATTGTTACAGCATTGAATCAGGAATTCTTCGGTACTCAATTACTTATCTCCGATCAAATTTAGTACCAGGACTTTTCTGTGACCGAAGTCTCGACTAGAAATATAAGGATTGATCATTGGGTTTCCTGTTACCAGTGCTGTTGTCCCTCGAGGGATAGACAGACGCCGAAAGGTTATCAGGATTTCCGATGCTGTCCTTGCTGTCCTTGACCATTGACCAGTATTTCGTATCTAGGAAGAAGTCCGGTGAGATCGTATTTCCTCTGAGGCTCTGACTAGTCAAATCCTTTGCTGCTTAATACTTACACGACAAAGTGATACTTCCCATCCCAAAGTCCAATCTTAACACCAATATAATTGTGGGGAGCTTCTGATTAAGTTTGCCTCCAAGACAGCAGGAATCGAATTCCACGTGCTAAATGACCTTACATCCGCTTCACATCCTTCGAAAACATGTGGCAAGTTCGTAAAAAGCTTCTAGAAAATCGTGATGATTTCATGGTCGAATCCTGATTTATGAATGATCACCCAAAACGGTTGCCTATCAACATTTTCGAACAGGGTTGTAGATCCCGAACCGAGGCCATGAGATTTGACGGATAAGCAAGAAGCGGGCAAGTGCTATTGACTCCGTGGAAGCTGCGCGAGTGATATTCCTTACCAACATAGCGGTTGCTAGAAAATGAAGAGAGAATAGATAGCTTTTCTTACAGTGGATACGATTTGGGTATTGTATCTTGATAGTTCGATGGATTGGGAAGATTGAAGAATTAGATTCAATTGAATTGCTATAATTGGAACGGAGAATAACGGTTGGTGGACGATGTAATCGTCAAAACTTCAAAATATACGGCCGTATATTTGCATGTTTATCTATTTCCCCCTTGATTGAAGATCTAGACAACGAATTTGCTATGAGAGACTTTTGGAAAAAGGAGATATTATATCGACACCGAGCACACGAATACGAGAGAGAGGTATTCACGATTGATCATTCATCTCAACGAGCAAGCATAGCTTCTCAACTATCGTATCTCTCGTTCCTGATTTCCTGATTTCCTGATTTCCCGTCCTCCATCTCGGAGTACAGACTTGAAAGGATTCGAGGTCCTGTCGGACAGGTCACCGAATCGGGTCAACTAAACCCACACACAGGCTTTTGACCAGGACTCCATGACAGTCAGCCACGCATGTAACCATACATCCACGTGTGATTCTGGGATTGTAAATGATTCCAACGGAGTAGATGGATGAATCATAGCAAATCGTAAAGCAGAGCTACAGAATGATCACTGATTAGTAGCAAGGAAAGGATCTCATCTCATTTTGGGAAATCGACAGGTTTGTGAGATTAGTGAAGAGCTCTTTGCTTATTCTTTTCGCAAAGTTTCCATCCCGTATGCAAAGAAGCAATCATTGATTCGGTTTGGTCAAAGGGGTTGGCAAATCATAGATGGTCAAAGATTTAAAGTTTCTAGCACTGACATTTGAAGGTTGATCTGGTCCCCCTATTTAATACAATTGCGCCATTCATTTTCAGCTCCCAGAAGATATTCTTCAAAACCAACTTTCTTCAACAGCATCGTCACACAACTGCATTATCGACCAGGCATTTGCACACCGTAATCAACCAATCTAAACGCTGTTTGCCCTCATTGCCCATGCAAACACAACCACAACCGTATTCCTGCAAGGCTGCGACCATGCGGCGCATATGTGACATCGCTTACAATACAGACCCGTAGGCACTACACTAGCCACTTGCCCTGGCAACACCGCTTCCAGCTTACGCTATGCGCTTGTTCAGAGCTTCCTTGTGCAGCATGAGATAGTGGAGAGTGATAGTGAGGAAAATGGGGAAGTTAGGTGCGTGCAGCCTCCGTAGTGGTGCTACGAGGATGACATGGGGGACGCGCCAGGGTTAATCGAACCAATGGCATACCCGCAAGATTATGGAGATGCAGATACCTGTTGTGCCATTTGAAATTTGGAGGATCAGACCAGTTCGATTTGTTCGGGCAAAGATAGAGTATTTTGGAGGGTCTGCTTGTCTTCTTTCGGTCCTTCCGCTTGCCAATTGCGGTCTACGTACCTGTTGGAGAAGATTCATATCTATCTCGATATTTCCTCATGGTACTCTTTTTTTGTGCTCGCTTTTTACGCTTTTGCACAGTACCTCACTGCATCCTTTTCTCAATTTTTTTTTGTTTGTTGTTGCTTAATTCAGAAATGCTTCGAATAATATTCTCAACAGTGGGCAGGTGAAATTGGACAGACAGCGCGAAATCTAGTGATCGAATCGACTGATGAACGACAAGAAGCATCCATCCGTTCCATTTTGATTATTTCCTCAGCTCCTTTCAGTCAGAGGGTATTCAGCAAACGGTTGTACATAATAAGAAACCCCTCAGGAGAATTCGGAAATATATATATATATATATATATAATAGACACGATGGACGCACAAGCCGCCGCAGCACAATTTCCACCCGGATATCTGGAAAATTATAACGGACACAAACTCGTCGTTACGTGTATCGCTTGTATTACCTTGAATATATTCTTCGTCTTTGCGAGATTTGTTTCCAGGTGGCTTCATAACACACCGCGGGGTTGGGATGATTTTCTCATGGTGCCAGCCTTAATATTTTCCGTGTTGCTTGCTGCTCAGGGTCTCGGTACGTGTATAATTTTATGTCTCAAGCATCTTCACATTTGACGAGATTTATGTCTAACAATCACATCTTATAGTCGGAATAAATTACTGCGGAGTAGGCCACCATATTGAAGCTATTGAACTGAGCGCTCCCTCCAAACTCCTCGCCCTCTACAAACTCTTAATGTTCTTCCCCGCCACCTACGCCATCGCCGTCACCTTTCCCAAACTCTCCATCCTCGCCATGTATCTCCGTATCTTCACGGTTCCATTTTACCGCATGATAACCTACTTTGTGATCTACATCCTCGTCATATCATCCACTATTTTATTCATGATGATGCTCTTCCAATGCACGCCTGTTGATTATTTCTGGGACAAAACGATTGTGGGAGGAAAATGTCATTTTGATATCGAAAAGCTATTTTTATATGCTAGTTTACCGAATATTATAACCGATATCGTTATGTTACTATTACCATTACCCTTTATTTTCAGACTCAACATGACAAGAAAGGTGAAGATCGGATTGGGCGTTACCATACTCACCGGATCAAGGTACATAGTTCTTTGTCCCCTCCTCAAACCCCCAATTAACATTTCCCAAGCGGTCTCGCGACATCTATTCTCCGTTTCGTCTCTTTCGCGCATCAATCCTTATTCCCAGATACTCCCCGCGCAGCCGTCGATCTCGCCTTATACACTATCCTCGAAACGAGCATGTACATAATTGCCGCATGTCTCCCCGCCTGTCGACCCCTCTTCAACATAATATTGCACCCCTCGCGAAACATGCCACAAGACCAAAAAGACGGTCTAAATTCCCCCAGAGAGCACGCCCGAACTCTACACGACGATATCGAGCTCCAGCAAACCAGCGAGACCAGCAGCGGTAGCGAAAACGGAAACGGAAACGGAAACGGAAACGGAAACGGAAGTACAGGAGGACGCTACCACGGCATCGGCGACGGCTTCCGAGGTATGCAGGGTCGATTCAAGCGACTAGGCTCCGACGCCGGTTTATTTCTCGGACGGAGAGATGTTTCTCCTCCGCCCCCCTCACCTCAACCATACCCGCACTCCCAATCTTCCTCGGGCCCCTCTCACTCCCCCCAAACCCAAGAGCGCGATCCGGACCGTCAATTTTCAGAGCAGGCAGAGGGACGTTTCGGGCTCGGTCTCTCAAAATTCCGGTCTCCGTCTCGGGAGCGAAGCTTCAAAGCTCCCGTTTTCAAACAACCATTTCGGGCGCCCGAGCGTGTGCACATAGCGAATATGCATGTGGGACACATGCAGATGAGTCCCGAGGAGGATAAAGAGCGTCAAGGGGGACAAACGAGAGATGGGATTCGGGTCAAACAGGAGTTTGATGTATATTATGATCGGCCGCCTGTACGATAATGTTTTCTAGGAGCTGGTAGAAAGAGGGAGGCATTTTTCAAAGGTGGGATTTCTTGGGCTGTGTATAAGTGTATTAAGTATATTGGGCGTTTTTGGGATATTATGGGCATTGGGAGGTGTTTGGATAATCATGCATTTCTGTGGGGTGGATGGTAGTCTGCTTTTGTGGAAATGAGGGTGTTGTGTGCATACTTTGATACCATGGAGACGGTGGTTATTTGATATATAAAATAAATAAAGTTAATGAAAATGATTAATGTTTACATTTACTGGCTCGTTCAAAGCTCGTAAGAGCTCATATACTTGTGTCGTATCAACGCTCAAACGATAGTGCAATTCGAGTCCTACGCAACGCTAACACCTCCCTTTTCGCTCCCCTACACTAAATAGCTTTGCGTAAAGTTGATGATTACAATATCATCCTTGAGCTAAGACCTTGAAATCATTTTTCATACTGTGGTTGAAATACCACCATTCTATGTGAAGCTACTGATTTTCTACAACTGTTCCTAATGAAGCTGCACGAATACTAGTCTTGAAAAGGGCCAACCAATTCACGAGCATTATAACTGCCGCCAGCCATCCCCCTGGGTAACGCGCCGCAGTTGGTATCAGTACACTACCCAAAAGGATGAAAGCGGCGAGCTCTATCCATTCAGAGTGCCTGTGGGGACTTTTTCGTTCTGAGCTGCACTCTCTCGAGCCATAAATAAAAGCCAACCATTGAAAGAGACCATATCTTCTACGGCACTCCCAACATTGCTGCTCTTCTTAGCTGCGAGAGTGATAAGGTGGCATGATAATATATTTCGTATTACAAGGAGAAGACACATTGCAGTCACATCTCTTGTAGAAGCGGTCAGATCCAGATCTTGAGTGGTCCTCGACAACACAATCGTACAGGCCAAATTCAACACCAAACTTGATATCGTCCAGCCCATGCTTATTCCCAAGATTTGAAATTCTGGTACTGAATCCGTACTTGTAAATTTGGGGTCAGGTGGCACAATGATGGCCAAATCTTCTGATGCAGCTTTATCATGATCATTCTGGTTCAAATTAGCCAAAAGTATAACGGATGCGCACATTGAGGCTGGGACTTACAGATCCTAACTTGTCTCCATGAGAATGCAGAGGAGCAATTGGTTTTGGCTTCACTCCAGATGGAATTTTGTCCAAGTCCTTCCCAAACGACCACTGTACTCCCAGAATTGGGCCGCGTTCATCGGTGTTCTTACCGTAACCCAGGAAAGCACAAATGACTGTGTGACGAACAACAAAGCCGCACATCACTGGAGCTGGTATCACAACGAACGCAGTCAAGATAGGAACACCCATGACCACAAAAGCTGCGTAAAATATAACTACACATGATCTCGCACTCTCTAGGTGGAAGGGCACGACGCTTTCGTTTCTGTGGTAGTCAAGAGCGATCAAAAATGCAGCGAAGACATTTATAATAGAGGATGAAACTATATTTTCGAATGCCAAAGATTTGTTATCGTGGTATTTGTAGAGAAATGCAATAATCCCAATAATCTGAACATTCTTTAGTAATTAGAAAATATAGTACGGCCCACAGCGAATACAAACAATGAAAACTGTGAAGACATACCTGCTCCAATATGGAAGCGGCAGCAAGAAGTTCAATCGTAAGTCCGGGAACGCCCCAACTCGGAGCCGCAACAACTGCATGGTTGATGAAAATCCTCCAGGAAGTCCAAGAATAGGCAAGGAGTCCGATCATAGCACATGCTTGAGTATTAGGTCTGGCCAGTCCATATTTGCAAGTAATTATGAGTCTTGGGCTGAGAAGTGGAACTCCTGGAATGATGAAACATGCAAGTTTAGGAGAGGAAATCCCATTCAATCTGCAGCCACCTGCAATGTATCATTGATAGTAAATATCGAAGAAGAAGGCGGGAAATCTAGAAAGCAAAGTGAAGGTGGGTTGTTGACACCGAAATTCAAAGGGGAAGGTACGATATCCTCAGTCAAACAGACCAACATCACCAATTGAAAATAAAGAAAAGCTTGCCAAAATGCGAGAACGATTGCATGAATAACCCAACATTTGGGAAGTTCAAGAAGGGATTGTGAAATTTGTATCTCCAACTCATAATTGAGGTCAAAATTGAAGATCTCGAAGGCTATCGAGAAATGTGGTCAAATGTATTGCAGACAAAGTCCAAAACGAATGCCGAAGACGAGCTTTACTTATCTCTAGTTCGATATCCATGTTGGAAAATGTATCAGTCCCAGTAAAATTATGAATACAATCAGATACTGAATACTCTCTTCGGATCAAAGGCCATTTCCTCAATTTCCTCATCTTTTTTTCCTTGACTTCCTGGAATTACATAACCTCTCTGGTTGCTTAAAACTCGTACACCATTTTTTTCCATGTCCGTTGTAAAATGGGTATGTCCAAAAACCCATACTTTAACATCAACCCAGTTCGTACTTGAATTTCCAAGGAGCTCAGTAGCAAATACTGAGCCCCAAGGATTATTAGAATTCTTTGGACTAGACGTGCCGACTATCGTCGGCGCATGATGTGTGATCACCAATATCTTCTTTTCAGGTTCCCCTTCGGCCCTAGATTTGTTTTGGTTCTGAATATTCGTAACTTCGTTGAAAAGCCATGTCAGATCAGATATATGTGCAGCGTTATGATCGTCAATCGACCAATTATCTATCTTTTCGAGATCCTTTAATCTTGCTTGAACCGCCTCCCTTGCGCCATCATCGATTTTTGACCAAAGTGTACAACCCAAGATCGTGGTCTGTGAATCTCCAAGTTCAATATCCCATCGTTTTTGATGACACAAAACTAGTTTATCGTTCAAAGCTGCTTCATTTTCGAGTCTTCGAGCTTGTTCCAAAGCGCTGGTGCGTGAAAAGTGGTAAAACTCGTGATTTCCAAGAACTAGGAAAACCCTTTCAAATTGCGCGGTCTGCTTTGCAAGAAATGCTAGGTAATCCTCATAATCAATAAGACGCCCAATGTCTCCCGCTAAGATGAGATAGGGTGCCACAGGTGCAATCAAAAATGTGTAATATTGTGAGCACACTTCCAGATGTAGATCAGATAGAATCTGGAAAGTTGGGGCAGACTGCTGTTTGGTAAAGAGGGAGCGGATTGTATTGACGACGAAAGGTTGTACCATCATACTTCCGTCACTCGAACAGACAAATCATCCACAAAAGCTTCTACTCAAGCATTGAAGCAGTAAGCTTGGGCGGAGAATGGGTAATAAATGGTTAGATGGACGAGGGAAGTTGTACGCATTGGCTTCCGGTAGTAATAGAGATTCCATGCTTACTAATCACGAAACGCTATTCAACAGTGATTCGAATTTCCCATCATATTTTCTTTCTTATACGAGTAGTAAAATGTGAAATATCTGGCTCTCTCTTTTCTTCCCCTTTGCTATTCGAACTGAAATGTCCATTCGACCTCATCCGCCTCCCTTCCCCTCCTCATCCTTGTCTACCCTCCCAAGTTAGTTGAGTCACTACTGGAGCATCGTATCTCATTTCTACATGCTCGAAATATGAATATCAAGTGTGTCAAGAGCATTCCCTGTGACCTGTTAGAGCGAGTGAGTTCAGCTAAAGATCATGCTAACATCTTCTACTCCATCACCAACTCATAGCAACACACCCTATCATGAAAAAAAGACACCAAAAGCATCGAAATGAATTCACAGAACACTGACTTGCATTCATTAAACATAGATCAGCCCATGAAGATTACATCACCAAGTATAATTCACCTGTCCCAGATACTGGCCTAACCCGAATCCTCAAAGTATATAAGCAACCATCGTTCGAAGTGATCTTCTTTTATTGCCCAAATACATGATGATGAATGCATATATATACATTGCTAGCAATACCCAATCGGGAATATAATGTACATGCGTTTTCGATGCGAGCAATAAATGCAGCACAGGCAGTTACTGACCAAGCCAGCTCAGTATATACTTAGGTATCTATTCATAGGAGCAGTTCCCGCGAAGACCTATGGATCCTCAAAAACCCCTACTGTTAACTTCTGTCTTCTTTGTTACGCTTTTCAGCTTCGTTCTTTATCAGTTATACACAATCCTTCTTCATATGACCCCAGAATCCCTTTCCCCAGGATCGTCATAGACGGTATGACTAAAAGCTTCATAATCATCATTATCAACCAACCACTCTATATCCTCATCATCCGGGCCTAGTTTGCTCATGAGCCCCGTTCCAGCTTTTGGATATGGTGGGCTATTTGGTGTGGACTCTCTGCTTTCCTGAGACACTTCCTGTCCATTGCCCATCCCATTTGTATTCCCACTCGACTCCATGTTTGACGAAGCCTGTGGAGGTTGTGTTGGTGGAGCGGCAGAAGCATGAGTGAAAGCTGGAGCCGGAGGAAATGACGAGGTAAACAGTGGCGAAGGAATGATATTAGAGGCTGTGGAATTGGGGGCTACTTTGCGAATAAAATTCATTGGTGCGTTGGGGTTTGATTCTGCACGAGAGAAAAGACCCGCTGTGGAGGTGGCGGAGGGAGGAAATGGTTGTGTGATGTGGTTGGTTGTGGGGCGAGATGAATTCTGTGATTGGCGGGGTTGGAGGGGCGGAGCATTGGCGGGGAATATAGGCATATCTGGGTGCAGAATAGAGGCTTTAATGAGAAGCTCTACTAGCTGGGGGTGAGGCAGTAAGGCTAGGTATGTCCTTCTCTGCAAAGATTGTTAGCTGGTACTTTTAGAATATGAAAGCAAAGTAAAACAAATACCTGGTCGAGTGTTTTGCCGGCCCAGCTAACACCGTCAGTCTTAGATGGTGCCGGTTTTATACCCCTCTTTCTTGCGCAATGATTACAATACCATGGTGCATGTTCATCCTTCACCTCTTCTTCTGAAACTATAGGGTCATGGCACATTTGATGCCACCCTAAATTACACCCATCGCAAAAGACTATCATATTGTTCTGAGGACTATTGCCTCTACCGCACCTCTTGCATAATGCTTGTTCTTGATTCTGGGTTCGTTTATTTGTCGACGCAGAGGATCGTTTCCGCGAGCTCGTCTCAGGCAAGGTAGGTACGAATTGAGTCGGCTTCACTATTTGTCTTCCGCTTTGTGTAATTTTTGGCATTTCCATCACACTGCTCGAATCGTCCGAGTCCGAATCTCCGCCTAGACCACTCAAAGCTTCAGATTCATCCGCACTTTCACTATCATCCTTGGCCCTTTTACGCTTTTGTCCTGTCTTGAGTCCCTTTCGCTTCTTTTTGATTCCTGCACTATTTGATGATACAGTCGGAGACTCAATTTTGGGTGTCCTAGAGGTGGCACTGGATTTGGGCGTCGACTTTTTGCTAGTTTGATATCTTGGTGGTGGTGTAGTTATTTCCATGTTCTGCGTAGTTTTCATCCCCGACATGACGTTCCTGCGCATTTCTTCATAGCCCGGCGGTGTCCCTGTAATGCCAATACTGGATAGCCCGCCAGATAATCCTGCTCTCATACGTTGAAGAATCATTTCGGTCGCGGCAGAGAACTGAGGAATGTATTTAGGAGGGGAAGATTCGTCCATGGTTGTATCATTTGATCCAACTGCAGAAGCTGGAGCATTATTTGGCGCGTCCATGTCTGTCGTGGTTGCTTGATATTTCAGTGGAGGCAATAAGATTTGCGCCGGCGAGAATTAACAAAGCTACCGTGCCGCAGCAAGCGTGATGGATATCTAGAATTAATGAACTAGATTGAAAGAGTATAGTATTGATTGACCGAAGTCAATTGACTAATTAGAAGCCGTGATATCATGAATGAAAGGGCCCAAAACAATTGATGTACTGGACGTGTCAGCACGCGCACTGATAGATCCCAGCAAAATAGAAATATGACGGAGCTTCTGAACATACAGCTTCAGCCTGTCGAAAAGCGTAGGAGTTGATGCTCTACGAAGTACTTGTAGATGTCGTTATGAGAGAGTACAAAAAGTGGTCTGGTGATGAATAAACTGGCAATCACATGTTTGACAATCATGTGATGAGATAAAATCACATTGGACTCCTTACAAATTAGCCTAATGCCTTGAGTGTTGAAGAGCAACAAGACCCAACGACATCTGTAGAGGGTAATAATAGCATTTGAATGTCCGAGATATCTACATAATTCTATTTTACAGCTCCTTCGGCCTTCAATGCTTCAATATCAGATTCATCCATCCCTAAGATATCTCGAAGAATCTCATCTGTATGTTGTCCTAGCATAGGAGGTACTGTTCGTATACTTGGCTTGCTCTCACTGTATTTTACCGGAGTGTTGACCATCTTAATTGGACCACAATATTCGTGATCCATCTCTTTTACCATATCCCTTGCTAACACGTGCTCATGATTCAATGTTCCTTGGATATCATTGATAGCTGCATAAGGTAGCCCGGATCCCTCAAAAATATCCAGCCATTCTTTGGTAGTTTTGTCTTGAGTGATTTTCTCTATAGAGCTGTCTAACTCTTCTCGATGGGCAACTCTTGCTGTGTTGATGACAAATTTTGGATCCTCTTTCCACTCTGGGCGTCCAAGTCCATTGCATAGAAGTCCGAATAATCTATCATTTCCTCCACCAAATAAAACATCACCGTCTTTTGTCTTATACGAACGATATGGTACGATAGATGCTAGCACAGCTATTAGGTTAAATTCTCAGCAAGAATTGGAATAACTTACGATGAGCAGTCCCCCATCTCCCTTCATCCTTCTCCCCACTTATCAAAGACGAACTCGCCAGATTCGATAATGTGGCAACTTGACAATCTGATAGAGCAACATCAATGTGCTGTCCCCGTCCTGTTCTTCCTCTTGCCAGTAAAGCGGCCATAATACTATTACTAGTATACAAGCCAGTCGTTAAATCTGTTACGGCAACCCCCACTTTCACGGGAGGTCCGTCCCTACTTCCAGTGATGTGCATCAATCCCATCTCAGCTTCAACCATAACATCGTATCCGGCTCGGTTTCGATATGGACCAGTTTGACCATAGCCGGTGATAGAAGCGTATATCAATCGTGGGTTTATCTCTCGCAGTGTTTCGTAGTCCATACCATATTTCTTCAGTGAACCTGGTAGATAGTTCTCAACGAGAATATCACTTTCTGCAGCGAGTTTATGGAGGATTTTGACTGCCGATGGATGTTTAAACGACAATCCAAGGGACTTTTTGTTCCGGTTAACCTGGTAATCGGTGAGCCGTGAAACTTGCGGTGTACTGGCATATGTGGTCAAGCTACAGCAAAAAAGTATGCACTTTCTCCAGGCCCTTTCTTCCCTGATCCACCTAAGTATTTCGCATAGGGAGGCCCCCAGTATCTAGTATCGTCACCTTTTGTCGGATGCTCGACTTTTATCACTTCTGCACTAGCTTTATGAGTTTAGATAACGACATAAGGGATAGCAAACCATACCCAAGATCTCCTAATATTTGTGTGCAGTATGGCTGTTAATGGTCAGGGAAGCCTTATGTAACTTCTAATCTTTTTGACTTACACCTGCAAGCACCCGAGTCATATCCAATACTTTGTACCCTTTCAGAGGTAGTGTCATATCATTCGTCGAAGCATTTGCCAATCCTCTGCGCCTGATATGCCTAACCGCTGGAGTGAAGCCATTGGAACGCCATAATACACAGAAAGCTCTAAAGAGCGACCGTGGATAAAGCGAAATGGTCATGATAACAATCAATGTACAACAAGGACGATGAGAGCTTAATTCTGAGTGATGTTTATTGTTATTATTGCCCCGCTAGCGCTACCCCAGATTTTTGGCGCATCTCGGCTCGGCTAACACAATCACCGAGATATCGGCCCACCGGGACTTCACACCAAGCAATATACAAGAACATTGGATAGCAAATACTTCGGAAGATAGTCAAGAAATATGAATTACACTGAATATTATATTAAGTATTGGACCTTTTGTTTCCCCAGAATCACATATATGTGTCTAGCCTTCTTCTCTATCCATTTCATCACGACCTCTTTTAGCACCGTTGGCAGGTCTTCTTCCTTTCAATACTGCCCCCTTCTTACCTCTATCCTCGTGCAAATTCTTCATCTCATTCCTAGCATGTCTTTGTGCTTCTTCTACCCTAGGTTTGAAGACCATAACTTCATCCTTCACCATCGGGTATTCGTCCTGCTTCTTTCCTAACGCTGCCTCAATACGCATCCAAATCTCCACATCATATTGAGTTACAAAACTAATTGCATGTCCGGATTTTCCTGCACGAGCAGTACGTCCAACTCTATGAATGTATGTCTTACTGTCCTGTGGCATGTCGTAGTTCAACACAACATCAACTGAGGGGATATCCAAACCACGAGCAGCGACATCCGTTGCGACAAGAATTTTTCTTGAACCTGCACGGAACTTGTTTAAGGCACCCAAGCGAGAAGATTGTGAAAGTTGTCCATGTAGTGGAATGGCTCCGAATCCAAGTGTTCGTAACAAAATTGCTATTCTCTGCGTTTCGTTGACTGTCCGTGTAAAGATGATGGCGGATTGACCTGCAAACTCGTTCAAAAGATAGATCAAGTACGTATCCTTGTGAACTAATGGTATGAAAATGTAGTTTTGAATAAGAGTCGAGACAGTTTGATATTTGTTGCTGCTGATGCTTACTCGTAATGGGTCCTTCAAACTTGCTCGTTGAAGACTTTCGACTTTAGAGCTGATAGTTGCGGAAAAGAGATATGTTCGTCGCTCTCGAGGTAAAACTTTCAGGATTTTGTCGAGAATAGGTCCGAAATCTAGGTCAAGTAGTCGATCGGCTTCGTCCATAACCAAATACTTGAGCGACCGTAATGAAAAGCCCTTTGTATTTTCTAAATGATCGAGAAGACGACCAGGAGTTGCAACTATAATGTGAGGTTTTTTACCCAGAGCGATTGATTGAGGTACCATATCCATTCCTCCAACTATGACAGCACATTTTACTCTTATAACAGACCCAAGAGCCTCGAATTGTTGGGAAATTTGATATGCAAGTTCGCGAGTTGGTGCTAATACTAATCCGAAGAGTGGTTGTGGTTTATCGAGTAGAGCTTGAAGAATTGGTAAAGCAAATGCGGCAGTTTTTCCACTACCAGTTTCGGCCAGACCGATCAAATCTCTCCCTTGAAGTGCGAGTGGTATAGACTCCCTTTGAATGGGAGTTGGGGCCTTGTATCCTAAAGTGTCGCATGCCTCGCATAGTGAGTCGACGATACCCTGGAATTGTGAGTAAGAGATATTGCGATAGACAAGTAATTACGCACCAAATCCTTGAAAGACTTTGGGGCCTCATCTTCCTGAACTTCCTCAGTCTTTTTGATAACTCTGTTATCTTCAGTATCCTCAATTGGCTCTGGGGAAGGTGTGGGGGAGCCTTTTTTCGACTCTTGAGTCTTCTTCGACTTCGAATCCTCCGAAGATGGATTTTTATCGGTCTTCCTCCGCTTCACCGAAGACATGATTGTTATCTCGTCAGAATAGATACGAATGCGTAGAAGTATCTTGAACCAAAGTCTTCAATTCAAACGACTCTCAACATTGGCGCAATAATTTTGATGATTTAAATACAAGTTGAGTGCGAAGAGCTAGGGAAGGCTAGAGAAAATAGTTTTTTATCGGGCTTATCGGATCCGCTTATCTGATTGGCCGCGCAAAAAAGTTTCTAACTTTAAGAAAATGTTAGGAGGAGAAAGTCCTAAAGAAATAACATCATACAATTCAGAACAACAAAAATGGCGAGAAGACGTACTAAGAAGCGCACCCATGTTGGTGCCAACAATCCAGCTGGAGCAAAGGGAACTCCTGCTTCTCAAGCTTCACGATCCCCGAAGAGCATGGTAATTCGAGCTGGTGCAGGAGAAGTCGGACCAAGTGTCAGTCAATTGGTAAGGGATGTTAGACGGATGATGGAACCAGATACGGCCTCAAGATTGAAGGAGAGAAGAGCAAACAAATTGAGAGATTATCTCACAATGGCAGGTCCTTTGGGTGTCAGTCATCTTATGTTGTTCTCGAGATCAGAGGCCGGAAATACAAACATGCGACTTGCTCTTACACCAAGAGGTCCAACGTTACATTTCAATGTAGAGAAATACTCTCTATGTAAAGATGTGAGGAAGGCATTGAAGCATCCTAAAGGTGGTGGAAAAGAGTATACAACACCTCCATTGGTACGTTGACGATCTTTTGTAGTGATCAAATGGGTATTAACTGACCAATTCAGCTTGTGATGAATAATTTCACATCTCCTGCGTCAGAATCGAGTTCTGAAAACAAGATACCCAAACATCTCGAATCGCTCACAACCACCATTTTCCAATCACTTTTCCCACCAATTTCTCCTAATGTCACACCTTTAACATCCATTCGCAGAGTTATGCTTCTCAACCGAGAGCCGACCAAAGGTGAAGATGATGGCACATACACCATTAACCTTCGTCATTACGCAATCACAACCAAAAGAATTGGTCTTTCGAAGCCATTGCGAAGATTGAACGCTGCCGAACAATATCTACATTCAAAAAATCCAAGAAAGGGAATACCAAACCTCGGAAAGTTGGAAGATATCGCCGATTACATGATTGGAGAAGACGGGGCTGGATATATGACAGATAATACAAGCGGAAGTGAGGTAGACACCGACGCAGAGGTTGAAGTGGTTGAGACACGCACTCGGAAAATTCTTAACAAACGTCAAAAGGAAAAGACCCGTGATGGACAAGTCAAGGGCGCCAGAAGCGGGGCTGAAAAGCGGGCTATAAAATTGGTGGAACTAGGACCAAGGATGAAGCTAAGAATGACAAAGGTCGAGGAAGGTGTGTGTGACGGAAAAATTATGTGGCACGAATATATTCATAAATCGAAGGAAGAAGTCAAAGAAATGGACAAGGCTTGGGAGAAGAGGAGACAAGAAAAGGCAGCTCGTAAGAAGATTCAGAAGGAGAATGTTGAGAGAAAAAAGAAGGCCAAGGCTGGCAACAAGAAGGGTGGCGACGATGATGAAGATGATGACGAAATGGATGTTGATGAGTGGGATAGTGAAGGTTTAGAAGGGGATGGAGAAATGGAGCTAAATGAGGAGATGGAAGAAAAAGGAGAATGGGAAGATGAAGAAGAGGAAATTGCTGCTGGTTGAGTATGAGTTGTACTCACAGATTGTCAATACCTTGATGTATAATTTTTTTTGGCGCATTTAAAGGTTCCATGGTTATTCTGTCAATATGATATCTAATTCAAATCATGTCCTCCAATACTTTGACTGCCCTTTGACCAACAGGCTGTCCAATGGGCAAATAGCGGACGTGTCCGTTTTATAACCTTGATTGTTATACACAGAAGCGTCGCCCTTTCTTCTTCTTCTTCTTCTTCTTCTTCTTCCAGACAAGTCATGTGTGTTAGGAAATTGAAGGCTCTTATGAGACTGATGCGTAATTCTGGCAGTTGCCTGGGGTCCGATATACACGGTTTGGGCTCTTATGAACAGTGTCTGTTACGTTACTATGAGTTATCCCGAGTCATATGCGGTCATAGTTGCAAGTTTTAGATGCATTCCATTTTAGCCAAGAAAATGATCTTATCCAGCTAATATAAGTTATATGGTGAAAACATGGTTACGAACAATTACCCATCTAATTCGGGCCCATCCCTATTTGCCTACTTACATACAAGCTACAACATTCTGAACGAATTAAGTCTTTCGAACTATAGGAGAAAAATACTTTGACGCAAGACATAATGACAGCACTGCGCAACTACAATCATATCTCTTTCCCTGAAGAATAGGGGCGACTCGGATAAATGACAATCTACTCGAGTAATTCCTGTATGCTATGATCTTATGTTCGAATAGAGGCCACCGAGACATTACATCAACGTCATACTCAATTATCAACTACTAACACTGCACATCTATTTCTTCGCAATTCTGAGTCACATTACCTAGTTCTAATCTCAGCCAGGATGAGGTTTATAATACAGCACGTCCAATACTAAAATAGAGGACATCCGTATGTTGTTAACCCTGAAGATTACTGTTATCTTTAATTCCAGGCTACATTATTTTTTCTAACTCATGATGATAAGTACAAACGTTCTTTGTTCTGCTATGTCAATCTTGAAGAATTGCAACAAACTTCTTGAAAGATATTGACTTTGAACCTGTTTGACAAAAAGTGCTTTGATTCCTTTGCCATCTCTACTGTCTACATTCTCTCTACTCTCCAAAATCTAAGTTTCCTTAGTCTCTATGTTCTTTTCACTTCTTGCGTTCTTTTCGTTCTCTGGATGTCTGTTTGTGTTCTTTCTGTCTTTCATGTTCCTTCAACCCTTTGTACTACCCCCATCAAAACATATAGAAACACTGTTCTCAACCCCAAACTAAATACCACAATGCCATATCTCCCGTTCCACTTCCCAATCCCAAAGCAGTAAACATGTCCCCCACCACCAACGCCGAAGCCCGCAAAAAAAGCAATGCCACCGCCCAAGACATCGCAAGCGAAGCCGAAAAAGTCGGTTTCCACCGCTGGAAATGCGTAACTGCATATCCCGGTCCCTACACCCTCTACCGATCTTCCTCTCCCAACTACGTTTCGCCACCAGGCGATCCTTCCCAGTCTATCGACGCAAAAGGTATTGCATTCTTGCACAAACAAAATATCGGTCACGTGATCTGTCTCAACAACGATGAACCGAGTTGTCTCAAGATTGAAGCCGAATTGACCAATGCCCATCCGCGCATCATCTACACACATCTTCCTGTGACAGATTACACGCCACCGTCTTTGGATCAGATGGAAACGGCGTATCAAGAGTATTTGAATGCGAAAGTACCGACACTCGTTCATTGTGGGTATGGGCATGGGAGAACTGGCACAATGATTACGGCGTTGCAGTATAAGATTGAGAAGGCGAAAGGAAAGAAGCTGGATTTTAAGGATGCCGATTATGCTAGGAATAACGTGGAGAAGACCCATTACGGGAGGTCCACGGGACAGTATGAAATGTTGAATTTGCTGCAAGGGAAGAAGTGAATTCGTTCAGATGGACAACATGCTGGTGCTCAAGAAGAAGCAACGGTGGGCTGGAATTGAGAGAAACTATCTTGCTCACAGGAGGAAACAGGAACTCTCAACTAGTAATTTAGATATCATATCATTGATATTGTTACTTCCGTGAACTGTGGCTTTAATTCCTCAGTTGTGATTAGCAATTCGGCCTCAGTGGATGCGTCTGATAGCCGCGAAAGTAAAGCCCTTCCGGACTATATCTATCCAACTGGTCATCTAAACTTCAAATGGAAATGCGCAGAAAATACTGTCAAATAAGAAACCGACGTTGAAACGATCCCGATGCCAATCTTATCAGTACAGTATAGTTTGCAAGTAAGTATTGCCAACACAAGAATACACCCAGACAGAAGTTCGCACCGACTGTACTCGCCAGTCCCGGATCTTGAATCTGGGTAAGTTGAAGTCCAGCAATGGGTTTCAATCAGTTACAGAGTTGTTTCTACCGCCTCAGACCGACGAAATACTGGAAATCATTCGAGCAACTAGTGGCTTTTAAGCTCCATATATTTGGGCGATACAAGGAACTTCTCATTGAACTGGAAGTTCTGATAGAGATTAGAGATGTCATCTTGAAGAGGTTTGATGCGTACCCTAGAACTACCTGGGCGTTTGAAATGCCATGAGTTTGATATCACTCGCCCTTCTGCCCACCTCTCATGCATCTCACTTTTTGCCTTTCACTTGTATCCACAATTTCCTAGGAAAATTGTAGCAGAGGATCTATATACATTCCATTCCATTCGGTTGATCCAAAAAGCATCCAGCTCACTAACTTGGCCGAGCTCAAACACTGCGCCATACACCATTTGACTCTATCCAACCATGAGAATTCCAAGTCAGGTATCCATCCCAACAATGCAACATGGCATGTCTAATCCTTCAATCAAACTTTTCTTGAACGCCATCACGAATCTTTCCATCTTTTTAAGCACTAAATATCCATCAACTAATCCAAGAACGCTTTGCACGCTAACTATACTGATGCATTGCTACAAAATTTCATCATTATCCCAGCTCCACCAGCTGCTTCCTCCTTTCCTTCCATCATCTTTATTCGCGTGATCTTCCACGACTTCGTCTACCACCTCATCATCTCCCAGATTCACAGCCTTAGGTATCTTCACTCCTTCCCTCTTCATCTTCTCCTTCCAAATCCTGATCTCCTCATCGTACCCCTCCCACCAATCCCACGCATCTCCTATTCCCCTACTAACTACCTTCCCCGTCCACTGATCCATTTTGGTTGGAATCGCCCATGGCCAAAATGGATCGGAAGGATGCCAAACATCTTTATTTGAGTACTTAGGATGGCAATAAGTTTCACACATAGCCCATTCAGCTACAAACCACGTCATAAAGATTGTGAATAGTAATCCAAACCAGGTAAGTTTTCTAGTTCCAGGGTAACGGAAGCGGGGAAGAGGTATCATGAGGTAGTGAACATTTGGATTCAAGGCAGGGTTTGGAGGAGCATCTAGAAAAAAGGGACGAGATGATGTTTTGGGGGTTGGGATGCCGAGTTCTTTGGGCGAGTGTGAATGTGGACCTGATGATGAGACTTGCTGTTCCAGTCTTTCGATGCCATGTCTCGCATCTCGTATACTACTCGTAGTGTGTTTCAAACTCCGACTCATACGAAGGAACGCAAGTTCTTCCAACTTTTTTTCTTTCTCTTCGTGAGAAAGTGGTTTGCCATTTTCATCGAAATCGAGATTGATTTCTACAGTTTCAGAATCTGGAGACGTAGGTTGATTCTTTAAAAACAGGGAGAAGTCCCGATCGATTGTAGTGGAATCATCGACTCGAGCTTCTTTTTCTATACGTTGGAGGTCGGCAGCGGCGGAGATGGTAGGGGCACTATTTATTGGAGTTGGACGGGATCGCGACTGTGACTGGGAAGGTTTGGAAGGCTCACTACCGCTGCGGGGCGAGGAAGGTTCCTCTTTGATCTGAAATTGTTCTTTGGGTGTTCTACCGTTGGTGCGCATTCGCGGTGGTGCAGGGGTCTCAATCCACCCGCCTGTGACTTTTGGGGTGGGCAATAGGAGAGGGTTGATAGGCGCAGATGGAGGTGGTGTTGGTGCGGAATCTGGAAACTTCTCAGAGACCTGTTCAAGCTCGTAGGGAGATCTTTCTGAAAATACCGGAGCTTCAATATTATTATCTAAGCTACCGGCACTATTTCTCCCGCTTCCACTTGTACCCGTAATTGCTTTAGAAAGATTCCTTAAGATCTGAAGGGAATCTTCTTGTTTAGAAGCTGTTCCATTTTGACGTCTCTCATTTTCCGGAAATACCGTAACGGGAGTTCCACGTATCATCTCCCCTTTTTCCTCAAGTGTTGTTTTCTCATGCATCTTATCCGTTTTGTCGTTGGCTTTAGGTCGTTCCAAAGATCGTTTCAAAGATCGTGGCTCAATGTTTTCTAGTGCTCTGTGGTTATATTCGGCCCTTGCCCGTGGTTCGGCATTTTGTAGAACTCTATGGTTAGATTCAGAATTCGCCTGTGGTTCAGTATTTTCTGGAACCCTCTGGTCGTAGTCGGTCCTTGATCTGCTTTCACGGGCCCTCTGTATTGCTTTCAAGCCATCTTCCCCTTGGAACCTTCTTTCTAGTCGGGATAATGGTCTCTCTTCCTGTGGCATAAAATTTTCTTTATCATTACGCATGCTGCGTACATGATTGTCGACATGGAATGAATTACTTTTCGAGAAGTCGCCGCTTTTTGATCTCCGTTCCCGGGGTAACCTATCCCGCAGTGCTACTTCCTGCCTTTCTTGGGGAATTTTGTTATCTTCACTCTCATACGAAGTAATTGGTCTCCGTTCCGCACGCCGTTTTTCCAATTCCCGCCGCACACGCTCTCTGCGTTCTTCCGATTTTGCGTGCACTGTCTTCTTCTTCGCAGTCTCATCCTCTACAGGCTGCGAAATTTTACGACTTTCAGGATTATCAACGGACTTTCCTCTCCTCGCCAGCCTCTCCTGAACCTTCACATAATTTGCCTCTCCATGTTCCTCTTCCTCCTCATCATCCTCAACAAAACTCCTCTCCTGCTCCATAATCTCCTCTATCCTGCTCGGTAGAGCGTTCGTTTTCAGTCGTGGGCTACGATTAATATCCACACTTCGAGCCGTAAACTCAAGCTCTGTATCCCATCCTCTACCCGTCCCATTGGCTTCCTCCTCTCTCATCTTCCCAATATCTCTCGTAACACCCTCAATATCTACACTCGCATCTTCCCCATTGTTTTCATCGTCTTCCATTATCTTCTTTATCCAAGTATCTCCGGACCCTCCCCTCGCTCTGTTGCCCCATATATCAGTACCATTATCATTATTATTGGCGCGGAAAGTTCCTCTAGTGCGCGGTGAAGGCGAGCTATCATATCGAGGTTGTTTGCCAGGAGCCATTTGCGCGCATATTCATGAGACCTGTAGTTGCAATTGCAATTGTGTAGTATCGATCGCGGTTTGGAGATTTTTGAACTTCGTGGAATGTGAACGCGAAGAGCGCGTTTTTCTAGAGCTGGGAGGGGCGAGCGCGTGAACTCGGGTGATCTTTATAACCCGTAGCTGTACTAGGTATTTATATCGTATTTGTACATGAATGCGGGACTCTAAAACAATGAATTCATGCGAAATGTATAAGCACTTGATTTTATTAAGCAAAGTAATTTATTGCTTGCTTGTTCGAGGGTAGATTTGGTAGATATGAGGGCGGTGAATCCGAAGATTTCGATGTTCCGTAACTACTCCATTTAGACGATTGATAACCACAAACTCTTTTTGGACGACTATTGTGCTATTATCCAAGGTTCTTCTCAACAACTGATACTTACCTGCATTTGGCCGGTACTTATTCAGGGCATAGTCAAGTACTTTCATCATGCAAACAATCGTATTACTCAGGATAAATAGTATAATTTTCCAGTGCTTTAAAGTATATCTTCTCGCTGGAACTAACTAATGTTCATCTATTCAGTTCAAACCTGCCTCCGGTATCAAATACATGTTCAATCAATATACAAAATGTAACCCAAACCCCATGATCTCATGCAACGCACCCCCCCAAAATGCTTTTATGGATCTTCCTCTCCCCGCTCTAGCTCGTAAAACAACATATAAACTTCCTTTTGCATACCCAAAACCTCACTAGTCTTACTTTCTTTTATCTTTTCGTCACTAATTCTCCACCATCTTTCAACCATCTTCTTTCTCCGCCTGGTACGAACTGTTTCTGTCAAAGATGTCCGGCTAATTTCTGGATTGGATGGAGATAGGTTGGGCGAGGATGAAGCGGGGGATGATCGACTGATGGTACTAGATACTTTGGACAGAGTTTTCCGAGCCGAACGTCCCAAGGAGCGGATGCTACCAGTATCAGAATCTTGAGGAGCTGATGTGGGACCCGCTATTTTGGACGACGATGCAATGGAACTGGACGATGTTGGATTGACGCCAGAGAGATGTTTATTATTAAGTGAAGAGTCTAATGAATGGCGCCCGTTTATGTTTGAAAGAGAGGTGGTAGAGGCTGTCTTTGATGACAATAATTCTGGAGTTGATGAGAGGGTAGTGTTATCGCCATCATCCCTTGGAGTAGCGCTTGTCTGAGGGGTTGAAGGTAATGAAGGAGTATGAGTTGAAGATTTGGCATACGCCACTGATGGCTGGAAAGTATTTGGGGTTGAAAATGGAGCCACGAGATTTTGTCTCCGGAAAGATTCATAGTGTCCACTATGGTGACTTCCCTTATGACAGACTAGACTAAGAAGCTTGTACTTTCGTCGGTCCAGTAAACCTCCAAGTGGGAGCTGTTCAGGGAATGCCACCTTGGCAGAATTCTTCATTGTCGTTGATCTGGAGTCGAAGATTGATCTCGACAGATGAATCGCCATGACTTTTGGGAATTTTGTAATACGGACATGTTTGGCGATTTTTCGCTTGGGAGCAAATCTT